TGACAAATTAAATAATTCTGTAGGACTTGTGCTTCTTTAATACCAGTATTCTTTAATACCGTCCAGTTCATTATCTTTCCCACTAAGGATTTGTTCTTGTATCAGACGTGGTGGTAGAGTGAGCTTGTCTTTCCCCATTTCTCAGTTATGACAAATTTGTTTGAGCTGTTGGGATTACAGGTACTCAAATTACTGGGGAAAAAAAATCACAGCGGGATCAAAGTAACAAATATAATAATGAAAGAATTCATCTTTTCTCACTGATCATAGCTAATTGTACAGTAGGGATAGCATATGAAAATTACTTTAAAAATATCTGGTATTTAATGTTCAGCCTGTTTTCTGACAGACAATATGAAATATGATAAAAAGTTGTGTATTTTTCTCAATATATTTCAAAAAAAATGGCAAACCATAAAAAGATTAAGTATCTTGAGAGGATAGTCTTGACATACAGAAGCTTTTAGGAGTGCAGATTACTACGTTTATTTTACCAAGTAAAAGAATTGTTCATCGTTCATTTAATGTTTTTTCAGTTTATAGTGATCTTGGTTTTTTTTTTCCACAAATACGTTAGCTTGTATTAAAACGATGAATAACCTGCTGAAAACTTAAGGTTAATGGGCTTTGCTTAAAAAGGCAAATAGGGAGCTGAAGCATCTTGTTAAATTGTATAATGCATATAAAGCATTTAATATAGAAATGAGCAGGTCTGTTCTCTGGTCATTTCCCCTGGCACGTTTTATTTCTAGCACTCTGTGCTGTTCCTTCTCTTCCACCTTTTTAATAGACAGAAATTCAACTAAGAAGCCCATGAATTTTTATTAGCCCAAGATGTGATATTTTTATAGGCAACAGCTAGTAAGACATGCATGATTAAAAAGAAGCTCAGAGATCAGTAACCATCATGAATTTTAGTATACTTATCTGAAATTTTGCTAGTTGAAAGAAATGAAACTAGCCTCCACATTTAGGTGAAGGTTTGTCCCTGCATTCCCTTTCAGTGCAGCAGGAAGATAATCACAAGATGGTTGTGGTTGCCAGAATCTCTGGGTCCATTTGTCCCATCCCCTGCTCCAGCAGGGATACGCAGAGCAGGGTGACAGAACTACATCCAGGCAGCTTTTGGATATCTCCAAGGAGAGACCCCACAGACTCTGGGTTCTTGTACCATCGCTCCATCACCTGCACAGCACAGAATTGCTGCCTGATGGTCAGAGGGAACCACCTGTGCTCCAGTTGTGCCTGCTGCCTCTGGTCCTGGCACTGAGCAGCAGTGACAAAAGCCCGGCTCTGTCCTCTGTGCACCCTCCTTTCAGCTCCAGTCAGAATAGATGGGAAAGATCACTTCCCATCAGCAGGCAGGTATTCAGCCCCTTCCAGAAAAGCAGGGCTCCTCACGTGTAACGGTTTCTTGGAAAGACAAATGCTGTCAGTCCAAACATCCCCCACTTACTTGTTTGAGCCTCTAAAAAGAAAATTAACGCTTTCACAGCTAAAACCATGACAGCCATTTAACCCAATATAGAAAGAGCAAGGGCAGAAGAATTTCTGCTATCTTTCCTCCTCACACATGCTCTGCATTCATAGGCCATTTGATCAGATTAATTGAAAGATACATTCTTGCTTTTTTGATCTGCTGTGTATGGCTGCAAAAACATGAATGAGCTATTTTGGCTTGTCTGACCAGTAAGTGGTATTTGGTGGATATTATGTGCCTTTGATGATTCAAGGGGAAAGAGAAATTCTTATAGAGGAGAAGATGGTAAGGAATATCCATTGGCATCAGTAAATACTTTGGATTTGTGTCTAATTTTTCTTCACATCCCTAAGCCATACTTCCTCATTAGAAGCAAGAAGAAGATTTGTCTGGGCAATATGAAATTATGTATAGACAAGCATACATACCTATTTGTACATATTTATCTTCATCTTGCAGAGACTCTGCATAATCTAAAGAGACTATCACGTCATGAAAAGAAACAGCCTGCATTATATGTTTTAAATATATTTCTACAATCACGAACAGGTGTATTCTCAACATAATTTGGGCAGAACCACAATCACCTACTGTATCTTTGTTCAAATAAAGGTTTTGTGTAAAATAAGCAAGTGATTGTAGAGCAACACTATCAATTGTTTAATCTACATTGAGGCTGTCTCACACTTTCTGAAATGAACATTGCATATACATTTTCAGATACCTGTACTGTTCTTGAGCTTTCAGTTGTATTTAATCCAGTTTTTTTCATGGTAGAGTAATATACTTCAAAGAAATCACTGGCATCAGTGCAGTTCGGCGTACCCACAGAATATCAATTAGTTATACTGCTATACACAAAGGTATCTTACAGTCTTTAAAAATGTTACAATATTTCTTTTTCCATTGTAATTCTACTTGCAGTAGCTTTGCTTCCCATAGCCACAAAGGCAACAAGTTTAGTTTTGGAATAAAAATCACCCTTAAAAAATGTTACGTCTTTGGAGTGTTTTAGTGAAAACTGATTTGATTTCACCAACTTGCATCTTGCTAAAATAGCCCACTTGTCATTCTCGGTGTGTGAAACAAATATTCCAAAATTAGTAAGGGAAGTAAAAAGAGTAACTTAAGAAGCTAGAAGGCATTGCAGCAATGCGTATTGTGCACTAAAAAATTAATATTGGTTCATACGCTACCTCAGCTTAATTCATTCTACATGAGAAGGTGCAGGAATGACTTGTTTCATTTATAGCAAATTTTCCAGCTTGAAAGGTACACAGCTTTTAAATTTGCAGAAAAGACTTGAGGAAATTTCCCTGTAGACATGGCAGAATCCAGGGGAAACTTGCGTATTAAAAAATTGGATTTTTTGTTCATAAATTTTGAGTATATATGAGAAATCAAATTGAAAGTTCAAAAGCTACATACTGAACTGCAAGAAGACAAGCAACTTTGCTGACAGAACTGAATTCTTTCTCTACTACATAAGCCTTATTACATTGGGTTTAGTACATGGAAGATACTTACTTGGACCATATACAGTACTTGGATCTAAGAGGAAGAGTTCTATTATGTGCTTCTGGTAGAAACTCTTTCAGAGTTTGTGGAGTCACGTATTAAAAACAGTGCTCCCAAGGACTACATTGCAGCCTGGTGCTGTTCCTGAACATGTACCGTGACAAAGATGTGGCTTCAGGATCAGGTCTCACACTTGATTCAGGTGTGCAAAACCCAAGCAAAGCTGACTTGGAAGCCACTTCTGTACTTATAGAAGCACTTGTCAGGTAAATGCTAATCTCAGTACCAGTACACTGAAACAGACGTGGTAAGTCTGATCTGACTCTTGCCATACAAGTTATCAGAAAGGTCGTTGAGCTTTCCCTCACCTACCCATACTTCCTCCTTGTCCTTTTAGCTGGCCTACAAGCTTTTTGTTGTAGTGCCGAGTGCTTCAGATGTACTTTGAAACCAGAAAAAGGAAAAGCCTTGCTGTTGCGACTGCAGAGGAGGGACACAGCAGGTTCTGGATCTAAGATGTCCACTTCCCCCCGTATTTTTAACTTACCTGGCAGTGTTACCAATGAAGCTCTCCTCTCCTCTCTGTGCCTTCAGTTGCCAGTTCTGCCCCCTGCCCTGTCCTGGCGTAACCATTAGTGCAGCTTTGAGGTGAATCAGAAGGGGAAGCTCTGCCCTGGTGCTGGCTGGGTGTCCTCAGTTGGGCTCACTGCTCGCACAGGGCTGGTGCAGGGACAGACAGATGGGTGGGCTGAGTGCTACCCTGCCAATTGTACAGCGGTGCCAGTCAGTCAGCTTAAAATACATGGGAAGCTATGACCTTCTTTAGTTTGTACATGCCAACTCAAACCAGTCTCACATTTTGGAGACAGAAGCAGGTTCAAGTGGATCGTAAGGAATATTTGTTCATTTCATAGGCATTGAACTCACCAAAGAGTGAAACTGATTTCTCTCATTTGAATGTGTTTATTTTAACATATTTGTGTGCTATATGGCTATATGCTTTACCTCAACTGCATCTGAAATGGATGTGCATACTTAGTGAAGCAGAATTATAGTACAAGCTGAAGGTAGCTTTCATGCTTGCTGTTCATGTTCTCCTCAACAGGACTTTAACAGTTAATGAAGCTAGTGTGAGCTATCATATTTTAAATATTTAATTATGTACATTGATACGGTTATTTGAGACAGTAATGCATAAAATCCATACTCCTTCTAAGTCTTAGAATTCTCTGTGTATTTATTTTTATTCTGTAAGAATGTAACTGAGAAATACCACCATTCTTTGATATCTATTTAATGACTGAAAAATACTATATTGCATTTTAGAAAAATAACCTGATATTATATGTAAGGTTATCACATTGAAAAACACAGGGTAGTATTTTTGTAGCATTAGACACACATTACTGAAAACAGGAAATTGAAGTAAAATTAATCAATGCTATCTTTTGAATTTAATAAAATTTGCAAGCTTTCGGATCAGGCTGTTATTTTCAGTTTGCTCACCAGCTCATGCACAGGAAGGAAACAGTTAAAAAAACAAGTCAATTAGATAGGTAATGAGTTAAAATGAACTGAGAGACATTCTTAAATGGCATCTGTTAGTAAAAAAGTAGACTAGCTGTATTTCTAGAAGCTGAAAGTGTTGCTGATGAGTACTCTGTTAGGACTAAGTGAATTTTTACATTTAAGGCCAAGCTATGATGTTGTCTGGGAGTTGTAATGCAAATCCCTGAGCAAAACTCCTAATTCTGCTGTGTGGGACATAGTAAATCTTTTGTAGGTATAGGAGACTAGCAAACTTAATGTGAAATTGTTTTTACTTTTTTCCTAGAATCAGCCCTGTTTAATCACGCATTATACTGACTGTTAACTGGGAAAAAGAATGCATGTCTTCTAATGTTAGTGTATAAAGACTGTGTTTTTGTACTTTAAATATGTGCTTATTGCTTTTACAGTTTCTCTTTGCTAATCCTGACATTATCTTGTTGGCTTCCCACAGATGTAAATGAATGTGAAGCTGAACCCTGCAAGAATGGTGGAATCTGTACAGATCTTGTTGCCAACTATTCATGTGAATGTCCAGGTGAATTTATGGGGAGAAACTGCCAACAGAGTAAGTATTGCCATGACTTTACATCTCTTTTAAAAAATGTAAGGATTTTCCTTGACAAGAACAAGTAGAGAAATGTCTGACTAGTCTACAGATGCATAATGGTTAAAACGGTCATGTTATTATCTTATAAATGGAAAAAAATTAAGAGATCTAATCTGTCAGGCATTGAAGTAAAGCATCAGATATGATGGAAATATTAGCAAAACATAAAATTATTCTATGAGTCAAATGGGAAAGAGTCTATAGTGTAAAGAAGAAAAATATAAACACTGACTCCTACTGAGTGTTAATCTATGCAAGTATCACATCTTCAACAGTTCTTGTTAGGAAATACTGCTACTGTAGAGTAGGGCATAGGATATTTTCTCTGATTTGTCTCTATCATTTTCTGCTCAGGGGAGAACCTGAGCCTGATCGTTTGATTCAGTACCTGGAAGAATGATCCCTGAAAGCTTTTCCTCCAAGTGCTTGTTTGATCTCTGTTGAATTCATTCACAAGACCCTCTGGCAAGGAATACCACCAGTTGTCTAGCCATTCCATGCTTAATTTCCATGGAAATTAAGCAACTTACTTTGTTTGTTTTGGCCTTGTCTCTTACTTGTTTTAAGTAAGAACCCTGCATAAAAAAGGTGTCAAGCAAGTAAGGGGCTGATCTGAAGGGAGAACAAAAGCAGACGTGCAAGATGGATCACTGCTTTACAGAGAATTTACTAGTGGAGCTACTCCAGGATCTGCGTTGGGAACACTTGCACATGGTTTTATGAATAATATTAAAAGTTCATTATAAAGATCCAGTTCCTAAAGCTGAAGGAGGAATCATTCACATATGAAGGTCTAGGTAATCTTAGAAACCAAAGTAACAAAGGTAGAATAAACTGTCATGTTGCTAAATTCTTTTCTGTACTTCCTCTGGGAAGAGGTCTACATATGAAGCTACCACCAATCTGATGATTGACAGCATCATGGAAGGAATGTAAAATGAGATGTGCTATAAGAGTTAAGACAAAAATAATGTGCTACTTAAATTTGTAATTATAAAATAATGTGTGAAATACAGATATTCAAACATTTAACAATGGAAATAATGTTTTTACTGGTTGGTGACATCTGAACTACCACTGTTGAGGCAAGTGCCCACATTTTTCTACTACTATGGCACTAGTCATAAACGTTTAGCATTCATTTCCTTATGAGTAGTTTTCCACAGGTAGCACTAAAAAACAGCAAATTTTCTTTTCAGAACGCTGATATTATTGTGCCATATAACAATTCCTATTGGTAGCATTATGAACATCCACTTTTTTCATGAGAATCTTAGTTATGCCATTACACCTAATTATATAATTACAGGTAGTAATTACACATTCAAATTACGCCATTAGAATATTACGCATATTTACAGTAATCATATAATTAAATACTGTTACACTAATTATGTAAATGAATGATTGCTGTCTTAGAATTACCTCACAGAGCTCAAGGATTGCTTATCCACATCATAGAACATGTGAAGTAACCTGGATAGAGTAGAAAAAAGACAAAAGCGTACTCTGCACTCATTTTTGCTGTCATTGCAGGCCTGTGCTATAGGATGTTGTTCCAGTGGTACATTAGGATTTCCATATTCCAGATACTGGTGCTTGTTATGGGATTCATCAACTTGTAGTTAGATATTTTTCCTCCATGTAAAATTTCATTCTCACTTTTTTTTCAAATGAACTGCATTTCTCTTAGCTATTTAGCTGCTAGCCATTCATGCATATGTGATGCTAAAACCAGCTGCTTCTTATTGCTGGAAATCACAGCAGGAGGCACAGTCAAAGTAATGTGAAATACAAAAGCAGTGATGGCTTCCAAAAATATTTAGTTGTTCTGAAATAAGCTTATCATTTTGTTAGAGAACCTTCATTGAGCATCCAGTATTCACAAAATTTGCTCACGGATGTTTTATGACAACAGAATAGAAAGATAGCACCTTTCCCCATGCTGTGAAGGTAAACACTAAACAGTATTAACTGCACATTACCTACTACATTTCTTAAGGCCTCAGCACTCTCATTCTTACAACTGCATCTTCTTCTGTTCTTATGCTCTGTGAACCTATTGCTTTCTTCTATGCTGAGTTCAGGCTGTCAGTGGTGATTAACCCCATTAAAGCTTTCCTTAGTCTTGAGCCACTAAAATAAGCACTGGTTCCAAGACCTCCTGGGCCTGAGGATATTACATTCAGGATCATAGACTTCTCTTGCAGGCAACAAAAAGCCACATTTGTCGATGTCAGATTGATAACATTACTCAGTATGACTCTATGCTGTCAAAATAGCCTATGTGCAACACAGGTTGCGAAGAGCAATAATTTTGTGTTCAGTTGTTTAGAAAGCAGAGGGCATCAATAGTGCACACACTGCAACTCTACCATTGTGCTTGTGGAGATGTATTTTGTTGATTACCAAGGATTTTTGCCATTAAAACATACGGCAAATTTTCTCATGCTATTACTTCAAATTTATAGGTTAAATTTGTTACTCTAAATACTTTTTACAAATGCAATTACAAAATTACAAATACAAATATATTTGTATAATGTGCCACAAATCTTGCTGTGCAGTGTATCTTCATGGTGTTTTACTATTTTTTTTATGTCTTAGTACATTGATGTACCAATGCCATACGTGGTAGTCTTCTGCATTCCTCTTTTTTTCATTTGAAAATTTACCTCCTTTCTGTGTTCTCCATATTGAAAAATTACCTGAAGATCTGGCAGATTTAGACACAAAGAATCCTTCTAGGCTTCTGTTTACATGCATCATTATACTCCTGGACTACATGACCTGTGATGATTTCTCAGTGTCATACAGATTATGACCTTAAAGTGAATCAACAACCCCAGGTGACGCTACAGGCTTGGGGCGGTGTGGCTGGAGGACTGCGGAGAGGAAATGGACCTGGGGGTATTGACTGATGCTCGGCTGAACATGAGCCAACAGTGTGCCCAGGTGGCCAAGAAGGCCAATGGCATCCTGGCTGGCATCAGAAACAGTGTTGCAAGCAGGAGCAGGGAGGTGATTGTTCCCCTGTATTCAGCACTGGTGAGGCCGCACCTCAAGTACTGTGTCCAGTTTTGGGCCCCTCACTGCAAGGAAGATATTGAGGCCCTGGAACGTGTTCAAAGGAGGGCAACCAAGCTGGTGAGGGGTCTGGAACACAGGGCTTATGAGGAGAGGCTGAAGGAGCTGGGAATGTTCAGCCTGGAGAAGAGGAGGCTCAGGGGAGACCTCATTGCTCTCTATAACTTCCTGAAGGGAGGCTGTAGTGAGCTGGGGGTCGGCCTCTTCTCTCGTGTCATCAGTGATAGGACCAGGGGGAATGGCTTCAAGCTACGGCAGGGGAGATTCAGGCTGGACATGAGGAAGTATTGCTTTTCAGAAAGGGTGGTCAGGCACTGGAATGGATGCCCAGGGAGTGGTGGAGTCACCGAGCCTGGGGGTGTTCAAGGAAAGGCTGGATGTTGTGTTGAGGAACATGGTTTAGTAGGAGCTTTTGGGAATAGGTGAATGGTTGGACTGGGTGATCTTTTAGGTCTTTTCCAACCTTGGTGATTCTATGATTCTATGATTCAAAGTTTCCTGTTGCTCTCTTATTATATTCACTAGATAGAGAAGTTCTTGTAATTACTTAAAAATTCCAGACATTTCTAAACAGATATTCAACACTTTGCAGGAAAAGGTTCTAAGGTATCATACCCCATGTTTAATTGCATCATACTGGAAAGTAGCAACTCCAGGAGAACTTAAAGCAGCCTAACTACTTCACCTCTCTGCCTGTCTTAATGTTTCTGTTGCTGATTTTTCTGGGCTGCCTGTTTGTATTGTTTCCCCAGCAAAACTTGACACAGGAAATTAAAAAATAACAAATGAGCCATGTCAGTTCCTTGATCAGTGAACTGCTTCACCACACAGGTACTGAGCTGGTACAAAGGAGTGGCAGGTAATGGAGCCTGGGCATAAAAACAAGACTTAAAACAAGCTGAAAATGTTAATCAGACTAATGAAGGGAGAAAAAAACTATTCTTTATTTCAAGACAAAGGCAAGAATTTACCGCAGTTTTTTATCTCTCTTGTTTTATTTCAAAGCTTTTAATATTTGAAAACTAGAATTTTCAGTTTGTTTGCTGAGCATACAACAGGCAGAATGTCAGCAAATAACATATCTTCCTGTTTGCCATTATGTGGAAAAGTTCAGTCTTGCTGCATGGAAAAATACAGAGATTGTATCTATGTATGTGTAAGGGTATGTGTACATACCTTATGCCTTTAGAGAAATTAATTAACTTTTTAAAATGTGCAGGGTGTATAACTTACCATTTGTATTTTGTCCTTGCTGGGCTAGGGAATAATGTGTCGCTAGTCTTAGAAACACATAAGAATGGAATAATTTTTGTGTCTAAAAGAACAGCATTAATTTAATGCAAAATTAGTGCTAATCACTAAATTAGCTATTGCCAGATGTGTTTCTGGCCTCTTAGGATAGCACACAGAACTATTAGTAGAAATATATTAGAAACAGGTTCCAAAGCCACAAGAGGAAAAACTTTTAAATGTTCAATATGATTTTAGCCCATGTAATTCAGCACAATCTGTTATCTTTCATGTCCTGTTCTTTCTTGTAAACTCACGGTAAGAATAGAAATTTTTTAAGAAGTTAAATATGTACTGACAGATTTCAGTAGTAAGGATGATGCTTTTTACATATTCTTAACTATTTCCGCATATCATGGATGGACTCCCAATTTCTGTATTTCCACTGGACAAAAGCCCTCTTAAATCTCTTGCTGAAACTAGTGAAATTTGCTGAGGCTGGAAACAAGGTCTGGCTGGCAGTACATTGGTATGAAAGTGCAGAGAAGCAGAAAAGTTACAGAAATAACAGAAAGCATTGTTCAAAGTGGAATGTTCTCCCAGGCATTTCAGTGACCTAGTGAGAAATAATAATCAAACCC